ACCCGACTAAGTAACATCTTCAGTGCTAGAAGGGAGTTTGCTCTCTGTTTGTATACAATAACTTGCCCTGTCAGTGTTGGTGGGGGTGTGGTTTTTTCCTTGGTAGTTCCTAGATTAGGCTGTGGTTTACTGCTTGTTTGTTTGTCTGAATAATCAGGTTGACTTCTATAATCAGGTGCACAGGCAGAAAGCCCTGCCTCGACTTCCCGGAGATCACGAAGGACAGGCAGCTTAACCCGAGTGGAGTTCTTGTGCAGAAAGCAAGCCAGAACTGTTCAGCAGATGCAGCTTCACCCACTTGTACGACGGTCTGCCTCTGCGCCCACACTCTGGCAATTAAATCCTCAGCTTCCAAGAGGCAGCCGCAGCTGGTTCGCTCCGTCCTTCAGCCCCTGCGGCTTTGGTGCAGTATCCCCTCTCCCCCCTTCTCGTACTGAAGCAGACGCTGTTTCAAGGCAGCAAAGGAACCCGCTCTTTCCATCTGCTTCAGCAGCAAAAAAGCAGGGGATCTGCCAAGGCACCGGTTTCCTCTCGCTCACCACTTGCCTGCCATTTTTCTAACGTTCTGGGCCACCCAGCCACACGTCTTTTCGTCCGACACGAATTTTTATTTTACTTTTCACATCTGAGCATTACAGAAATGAAATTATTACAAGTGCCTCATAAGGTTTCGCTCCAGATGAAAAGGAAAACAAAATCAAAGAAAAGTAATCAAGCAAAGCCCAGGAAAAACAAAACAAAAAACCCCCACCAGCTGACAAACGTTGGAGGAGAATGGAAAAGTAGGGGAGGAAAGGGCTAAAGAAAGAAACACCTGGGATTTAGAAACACACTTTAATCAGGACCACTTGAGATGTGTATTTTTTTTAAAGTATAGATCAGAAAGGTGAAAAAAAATGGTATATAAAAAAGGAGAGAGCAAGATTGGGGCAAGAAGAGTGGCACAAACCAACATCTATTTTATGGCAAACTCCTGATCCTTTGGCCACGCAAAAGCAAAGTCAGTGGATTCCACAGAAATTCTTCATCGAAAGGAATGTCCATGATTTTGTCTGTCTTATGGCCCATAATCAACATTTCATTATCAGGTTATAAGTTTCCTCACAGAGGAAAAAAAAACCCATGAAGGTGCTTGTTTCACAGTTTTTATACTCCCCGATATAATACGGTCCGGAATTGGACGAATGCCCCCCAAATACCTTTCCAGGAATATGCACATTCCTTTACTGGAAAGGAGAAAAAAAATGCAAGCAGCCCTCTGGATCCCTTCGCAGAACCCAGGAGGGCTCAGGCACTCCTACTGCATGCTCGTCTTCAGAACAAAGCCTGTGTGATTCACAGGCAGTGGGTGAGCTTCAGTGTTGAACACCCAGTCCTCGAGCGAGAGCACATCATCTTCAGAGAACAGAAGATAGAGATACCTGGGCCCAGGGAGAAGAGCAAAGAAAGTTAGACTGTTGGCCGCCATTCTGTTTGGGCCTATGCTATGCTACCTTTGGGTTTGGGATTCAGACAGACAACTCTTGTTTCAAATCTGAACTGTGTTGTGTTCAAAATGGACAAAACAGGCCTGTTTCAAAACTACTCTGTTTCAACTTCAGAACACTTTCAAAATGATTGAAACAGCCCACTTCAAATGGGGGACTGCCGTCTGGCACTCAAAATGATGATTTTGAGATATGCGCAAAACTCACAACTTCCTCCAAATGAGAAGTAGTTTCAGGTTTTTGTGGGGGGTGGTTGAATGGTCTGGCCCTGAAATTGACCTGTTTTGTCCGGAAAGTCTTGTCTGGAACTCCTAGAATCACTTCTGGTTTGGAAGATTTACTTCTGGAAAAATGCCAGAATGGCAAGGTCCAGAGAAGCTTGGTGTGGTACAGAACATTCCAGGGTTTTCCAAAATGGTTTGTTCCCCAAACTCTGGCTTTTGCACAGAACTGGTTGATTTGAACTCAAAACGGATTATTTCAAATTTGGAAGAATTCTGTTTGAAATCTGGACCCCACCACTGAATCTCAGAGCCTTCTCCAAAAGGGTAGTAACAAATACCTGAAGCGGTGCTGAAGGAGTTAGGGAGGAAAAGCATAGATATTTTTAACAGTAAATGTGTTTCGTGTTAGAATAAGTTGTCCCCTCCAAATATGTTTCTTGCAACATCATTATTCTGTGCTCTTGCTCCTGCCATCCCACCAGCACGACGGCTGCAGTTGATCATTTTTCAGCTTCCTCAAACAAGCCCTGAGAGGCCAAGTTGAGAATTCTTGAGTCAGGCTAAGTTTTCGAGCTGTGTTCCAGCGAGGCCAGTGGTATTTTGGCCATTTATCAGGGCTTGGTCACAGGAAAGCACCACCACCACCACAATAAGTATGTTTTCTCCTAAAGACATCTTTCCTGCGCTGCTCAGCAACTGTGATTCCCCCCCCCGCCACTTGCTTCATGAAAAATATCCTCCTTTCTAAATCTCTTTTGATGGACAAATATTGAAAATGCTCAGGACTTACTTTAACGTCTCTGCCAGAAAAAAGCTCTGTTGCATGTTGTCATGGCTCGGGGTGGTCGCATACACATCACGGATCCCAGAGAAGCCCGCTTCTACTCGGCAAAATTTCTCCAGCGCCTGGTTTGGAAAGCAGGGAGGAGAAGAAAGTCCACTCACTTCCAAGAATGGCAAACCAGCGCTCATTCATCATCATGGATGCTTTCCCCATGCGTGGGTCTGAGGGGGATTCGGCTTTTCGCAAAGGCTACTGCAAAGAGCTGATGAGGGTTTCTTGGAATGCCAGGAAAATAAGTTTGTCTTGATTCACTGTGGGGATGCATTTGGTTGGGGCTCTCAGATAAGAACTCTAGGAAACCTTTCTGACAATCTTCTGCAATTGAGGATTCCCAAATAAATATAAGTGCCAATAGAAGAGAATATATGTAGCTCAAGGTTGAACTGTGGAGTCCTTGGGGTTCTCTGAACTTGTTTTCTTGCAGAAAAAATG